TATGATTATAACTGAAATAAGTCAATGACAAGATTTTTCAAAACTTTTTTCCGTATTTTTCATAATATAGCCTAAGCATTAAAAACATATTTTTTTTTAATTTTGATCATTTTATCTTATTTTTAGCATTATAAATAATAAATAATAGCCAAATTCAAAAAATCACTTTTTTTAGAAAAAAATCATTATTTCACTGCCATATCCCCTTTAGCTATCTTCATAATGGGCATTGGTGATGTTAAGTATTACTGTATTAAGTATTAGTAATTGGTTTAATGACGAGTACCTATTAAATATACATATATAAAATTTAAATATAGGTTTAATTTTATTTAATGAATTTTAGTAGAGTAATTAAAAGTATAAAAATATAAATATAAATAATTATTTATCACATGTGTACTGTATTGTTAAAACTATGTCAATATGATGACTTTTGCATTGTTGCAAATAGTTTATTTTTTTATTTTAAGTCATAATGACACTAAATTTCTTTTATTTTATGTATATTTATTTCTAAAATTGATGATTACCACACCGTGCACTAACCACATCATGGTAGTGCTATGGGCTACTTTATTTTGCTACACCACACTCCCATATCAAAGCTATTACACCGTGCCAATATTTTTGTCTTTTACTAGCGTATAAATGGCTGATAAAATTGCCGTACACCGCTTTAGAAATGGGTTATTACTTTAGACATTATAGGTACATACATTTAATTGTCCGTTACAATATATTGATTAGCTATACTACATAGTTGTTTAATTGCCTATAAACTTGTGTATGCTACTCCCCTAAAATTCATATAATGTTTAAAACGTTTTAGTAATTTTGAAAAATAATGTTGCTTCAGTGTAGTACTTTAGTGATGAACATGTACATACTTTTGAAACATTCTAAACGAATCACTCAGTGTGTTTTCCACTGTTTACATTGTAAGCGGTTGATAATTAGTTCGTCGTAAATGAAGAGCCAGATTCTTTGATCTTTGCTAAACTTTGCTGTTTAGTTGTTATCTTAGGAGGGCTGCAAATCGTCTACTCAAGCTATCAGTATTTCTCAGCTATTGAAACCAATGTTCCCTTTTAACTATGTAATGAATTTCGCTGCTGCAGAATCCAAGAAAACTAAAGAAACTGACACAGGGATCGTTAAAAAATTGCAAGAAAACAAAAATCGATGCACAAGAAAACCACTAAAATCACAGTTTAAAATGGTCGCTTTTCCCAACATTGGACAATTTTTGAAAAAAGATACCACATACATTTTGTATGAACATTTTTTCGAGAAATAGACTTGGGACCACAGCTGATATTTATTGGGTCGTTAGTACTTCATTTTGATAGGGAACGCGTTTTTGAAGATATCTTCTAAATGAAAAAAGATATTTAAAAACGGATTTCGGCATTGAAATCAGTGTAAAAAATTAGTTTGTAATGATGCGTCACGACCCTATCATTACATAACAAATTTATCTATGTCTAATATGGCAGATCCAAGATGGCGGCCAAAAACGCGTTCCCTTTCAAAATGAAGTACTAACGACCCAATAAATATTGGTGGTGGTCCCAAGTCAATTTCTCGAAAAATTCTCATACAAAATGCACGTGGTAACTTTTTTTCAAAATCTTTCAAATGTTGGGAAAAGCCGCCATTTTAAATTGTGATTTTAGTGATTTTTCTCGTGCACCGATTTTTGGCAACTTTTAGTATGTCATTCTGCAAACCCAACACTACAAAATAAAAACATAAAACGTTTTCTTGCAATTTGTTTAAGGTCAAATCCTATATTTCGCTGACTACTGTTAGAAACTTCTTCCAAGCTGGAGGGTTAATCGTTTTGAGAACCATGCAGAACTGTGTGGAAAAATTTTATCGAGAGGTTTTATTTAATAATAATTCAATCTGCATTAATTATTAAATTTGTTTGTTAATGATTGTTTTAGCGAATTTCCCATGTATAAAAAAGATATTTTAATATATTTCTGGATTTTTACATTTTAATAACAAAGCTAGATATTCTATAGTTAGAGCTTGTTCACAGTATTACCTAATTTCAAGATGTAGAAAATATACAGGATGTTTTTACGCAGCCCAAATCCCAATTTAGTACAAAGAGACACGGTTAAAGGACAAAACCAGCTGATAACTTGGTAGCCCTGTACTGTATTCCCGATCAGCTGATTTACATTGTTGCATTGTTTACTATACGGTTTAGTGTTAGAGGTAATTCATTTTAAATAAGGTCCAGCTTGGTGTTTTCACAAGCTCATAGAATGTTTTGATACAACTTTTGTCTTTTGTTTCTATTTTTATAATCTGTATGTTTTGGGGTGTACCAATTTTCATAGCATTTATATTAAGAAATTAACAGTTTTGTTATTTCCACAGACCAAGTGTGTACGTTGTAGCATATTTTGTCTATGGTTGTAGCCAACTTCTATAAACATAACCTCAGATTCAGCCCCTAAACTTTTATAAAAGATAATGCCAACTGTTAAATTTGATAAAAGAAATGTTATAATAGAAATACCGGAATGTTGTAAAATATGGCCTACTATCTAACAATTTTGTAAAAGAACTTTTTAGTGTAATACTGGCCTAATTTTTGTTGCGTTAATAACACGTCCTGTAGTGCAATGTAAAAGAGGGCAACTCCTGAATTAAGGGATGAAAAAATTGAAATTAAAGTCATGTTACTAGAAACACTATTCAACACTATTCAATAGCAAAGTCTGGTGGTAATATCACATGAGAGGGGGGTTCTCAAAATGCCTCCCTCCCCCCCAAAACTTCCTTAAAAACTGATAAAGCTCATCCGACTGAACGATATGACTAACCGATTACACAGAAAACAACAATCGCATCGAATCACACGCTGGAGAAGTATTTCGCAATCTAAAACTATTATTTTAATAAAGTTTTTAAAACATAGAACTAATCATTAGTTCCAAATAGTTTTGCATTCAATCCATTATTTTAGTAAATTTAACTTTTTTGGAACAAAACATCACTAAACGCGATGTTAACTAATGAACTAAACTGAATGTCGTTTCATGTAACATACTTACATATGAACAAACTGAAATTTGAAGAGTTACAATACTCTCAAGAAGATTTTTCTCAAACTAACACAAGTGCAATACCACAAGAAGCATGTGTGTGCGATTTATGTAAGTGTTGTCCTACGAAATAGCTTATTTATCATATATTCCCACCAATTATAACATTCCCTTAGAATTTGACTACTTCTAAACTCTAGAGATCACAATAAACTTCATTTTCAACCTTTGTAGTTTATCAAATAGATTGCAAAGTAAGTGAATCGACGAGATCATTGCAAATAAATCACCCCCAAGATGGTTTGGAAGTCTCAGCATTATAAATTCCTTCTCTAGAGTTCTCAAATGTTAATAGAACTTCCCCACATGAGTTCTAGGTAAAAAATCATGCGAAACCTCACCCCACCATAACAACCCTCTGTATGAAACTACCGGACGAATAACCTTGTACGTTCTCCTATAGTTCTAAAAATTTAAAAATCCAACATCAACAATGAAATTTAAAAATCCGTTGTACAAAATTTAAAAAAAAACCTCACTGCTTAAACTCGCTGCCAGTAAGGGACAAAGGTGTAAACAAAACTTTCATTCACCTCAGAGTACAGTAAATGCACCTAAATTAAACATCCACCCACTCAAGAACAAGTGTGTAGGGAACCTTGATATGAAATCCTGCAATAGTCCCCCAGTGTATCTGTTAATGAAACTTATAATCGAGCAAAACCCTACGAAGCATCATACCAACCCTGCCAAGTTCGACTACGAACCTACCTGCACAACTTGGGTCTACTTACGTGTCTCCAAATCCTAAAACTGCAATAGTTGATAGAGACCCCTACGCAAACTAGTTTTGCTAAGAGTATGACATATTGTCCTTAAACTTCCTCACTTTAACGTCCCTAAATAAACAAAACTTCGCAATCTCCCTTCAATCCTAATAACTTATTTTCTTGGACTCTCTGTACACCTTAGGTTTACCTATAACTCTAAACTCGTTTAAAATCGGTAACATAGCGATGTAGGAAATCATTTGTAAGCTGGAAGAGCATGATAAACCATATTTTATCGTCCTAATAGAAGAATTTCCTATGGATATGTTACATTGAAGTGGAACATCGAATCCGCCGCAAATAAACCATCACCGAATAAAAGGTCTGTGCATCATCAATATAAATTGTTTCTCAAAAATCCCACTAACAGTACCTTGTATGTTCCCCTGCGAATCTCGCAGTACACCTTAGGTCTACCTGTATCTATACGCCAATGTCTCTGTCAACCTAAGTCTAGGGAATCTTTGCTATAAACATACTTAAGAACACGCCGGTTAATTTTGCGCCTATCAACAAAACTCCCATACTTGACGTCTTATGTAAACAACCCTCTGAAACCTCCCTCCAACCAAACAAATTTACAAATCGCCCTGTACGTGTCTAAAAATATTACAAATCTGTAAATAACTTATATTAAAAATCTCACCACGCGACAAACAAAATACTAGTCTTCCATCGCAACTAAACATCAACATCCCAAATCTTTATGGAATCTTCGCTATGTAATACTGTAATAGAGTAGTTTACCAGCTTATCCGTCAATGAAACTTCCAAATAATCCCAATAATCTGGCCGTACAAACCCTCCCGTATCATACCACAACAAAAGTAAGTTAGTTTCTTTACGAATCTCCTGCGCACCTCAGCACAACCTGTGTCCATCAAGTTTCTAAAACTAGTCCATAGGGAACCTTGTATAAGCCTACTTAAGAACACCGGTTGATCCTTTATCTGTCACGAAACTTCCTCAGCTGATCCCTAGGTAAACAACCCCTAAACCTACCTCAACCCTAACAAGTTCCTCTATCCATCTCCCTTTACACCTATCTATCCATACCTCTAAAAATATTAAAACTAGGTAATATAAAGATTTAAACACTCACCGCTGAATCTGCTAGCCGGACGAGCGCGGCAGCGAGGCACCATACAACCACGCCACGCCACATGGCAGGCCCGTCTGACCCGAAGATGTGAGAGCCCCGCACCCCCCTCACCCCCCCGGCCCTGTGGACCAGCGGGGCGAGGACCCAGTGGTGCTCCGTCGGGCGGCGGCACTGGACGTCGTACCGTCATGCTCGGAACCCCAGCGAGTGTTTGAGTGATCGTGAGTTAACTGCCCGGCTCGCCTAGCGCGAAGATGGGACTCTACCTGCTGCTGGCCAGCGTGCTACTAGTAGAGACGTCCGCAGTGAGTTGATTGTATTTGTGAATTATAGATTTTATAAGGTCTACTTGTAGAGGCGGCCAAAGTGCGTAGTGTTAGGTTTTATAAGGGCTACCAGTAGGTCTAGGAGCAGCAGTGAGTTTGATAAAGTAAATCTGTATGATAGATTTTACTAGGGATACTAGTGGGTCTAGAGACGTCCACTCCGCAGTGTATGATGTTAGATTTCACAAGGGCTACCAGTAGCTGAACGATAGATTTTTCATGGGCTACTAGTAGGTCTTGAGCCATCCACAAGTACTTGTATTTGTGAGCCTAACTCGGTGGTTTCGTTACTGTAAAGTAAGCAGTATATGATAATGTGTTGAGTAGAATACCAGTCTTTTAGAGTATAAAGATGACAAAGTCCAAAAAAACACCCAGTAGATGCGGCACCCAATAAAACATCACGAAAACGGTTTTTAAGTTAGAGCTTGCACTTGACAGTAGTTCATTATTGGTTTCAATGTTTTGCTATATACGAAACACGTTTAGGTCGATCAGCATTCTGTAATAGCTGATGTTTAACTAGGTTGATAAAAAATTTCTGTAGGATAAAGATTGATGTCTCTTGGGTACAGTTTGTTGAATATATTTAATAAAACAACTAGTATCCTTCACTAAAAATCACCAATAAAACTAGTATAAATCATATAATACATACAAATAGATAACAAATAAAGTTCATAAAAGTCAACAAAGTAGTTAATAAAGTATAGTTAAAAATGATTGCTTAAACAAGTATTATTACCAAGTAACTTAAGTTATCAGTTTATGGCTTTCTTACTATGTGCGCTGTTTAAATTGTTAGTACACAAATTTATAAAATTGCTGCACAACTGAACGATAATTTATTTCGCATAGTGAAATAAATTAGTATCACACAAAAACATCATTTTCAATATCGCTTAAACTTATCAGCTCCTTTTCTATTGTAGATAATTCATTTTTTTGGCACCAAAAAAGTCCTTTATCCTTGTTTATTTTTTCGTCCATATTTTCCTTGAACATTTTTCAAATTGTTTAAATTCTCTCGGAAGAAAATAATTCGTTAAATATTTATTTGCGAATTGTCTGCATAATCCTTTTCAGTGCAGGAACAAATTGAAAAAAAACACCTAAATTAAAAATTAAATCCAAATCTGAAAATCGCCAAAGGAAACAAATAATATCCGGCGATAGTGGATGATAAGCCCAGTGGTGACACCTAGCGGCGGCCGCACGAGGCTCCCCTCCCACACCGGCCGGCCGCAGACCGCCACCGCGCGGCCTACGGCCTCCAGATAAGAGTTCATTCAAAACATCACAACTTCATTCAAATCAGCACGGTGGCACGGTCATTCGGTCAGGTTATCAATTTGTGTTTTTGTGCCGAAACAACAATCGGCTGATATGGTCCTTGTGAGGAAAGAGTGGTCTAAAAACCGAAAGGGTAGTCGTTATCAATTTGTTTACAAGATACAATGTATTGTTTTATCTTACTGTTACGTGAGCTCATTATTGAATGCTCTAAGAAAAATAATTGATTATTATTACATTATTACATCTATATATAAAAGGCAAAGCCCTCACTGACTGACTCACTCACTCACTCACTCATCACTAATTCTCCCACTTCCCATTTACCTAGGAGGCTGAAATTTGGTACACTGATTCTTTAGGCATTAAATAGGAAAACTAAGTTGTTTTTATTCTGATCGGACTCTCGGGCTCCGCCCCAGTGGCTCTGGAGTTTCCCATGTTAACCTTATGAGTACTCATATTTAAATGGAATTAATGAATCTTAACAGCTGTTTCAATTAAACAAGTTGGTTCTGTTCTATGATGTGCAATATCATTAAAGTTACAAGGATTACCAACAGGGTGCAGCACTATTATTTTTTTTAAATTTATGACAACAGCTTAATTTGCAACCAAAAGGTGAGTGAGCGTAGCGAACGAACTTTAACCTGGAGGTGAGTTAGCGTAGCGAACGAGCTAACCCGAAGGCAAGTGAGCGCAGCGAACGAGCTCCAACCTAAAGGTGAGTGAGCGTAGCGAACGAACTTCAACCAGGACGTGGTTGAGCCATGCGAACGAGCTCACTTATGAAGTCAAACGGGGCAAAGCCCGCGGGTACAGCTAGTTTCGTTTATAAAGGTTGTTCAGTGATTATAGATTTGTAGTTCAAACCTGAGAAACGGTAATAAATGTTTAATGTTTTTATTTTATTTTATAAACTCAGCTGCCCTTGATCGAATGGGATTGCAATTAAAGAAACAGCTGGTTAAAGAAACAGCTGGCTGATCTAGTCAGTAACAGAGGTACAAAAGACATTCCCTTCATTCTACGCAGTCCACTATCTATCTATATTATTAAAAGAAGTTTTTTTTGTGTGCAGCAAATCGGCCACATATTTATTTTTATATTGGGTATCAATTTAAAGCTATCCAGATGTGATTTTGCTGGTTTGGATTATATCCCGTAAGCCTGTCCAATAGGCTTATAAAATTTCAGAGTTTGTGCTGAATTCTGTTGTCAACCATCAGAAATGTTTCAAGTTTACATAAAAAAAGATGGCCATGACACAACTTTACAACTTATTATTATTATTATTATTATGGCTTGAACAACTTTATTTACATCCATACGAAATGGGGTTATCTTACAGCTGGTGATGTTTTAGTGAATTCAAGAAAAATATTTTAGACCCTAATGTTATTTGTATAAAATGTAAATAAGAATGTTACTTACGATTTTGTGTGACTTTAGAAAGTGTGTTTTTTGTGATTTAGATTTTGTGTTGTGATAGGATTTTGTGTTTTAATAGTGTACATTAGTATTTATAATTTTTCTAAGATGCCTCGAATACTTCGTGCACGCAATGAAAATAATAGGGATATGATGAGAAATAATCGTTTTCACCCTTATCAAATATATTTCGGATTTTGAAGTCACGAAGTGACGCTGACTACTACTATTCATTAATATTCAATTTAAATATGCAGCGCTAGACATGTCTTCATGTGATGATAGTTATACAAAATTACATTGTACAGTTTTGTCTACACTTGTAGTTTTATAACAATTCACTACCTACTTCGTTCCAACTTTAAGACGTAGGACATTGCTTCAGTAATTTAACGTAAAAACAATCTAGCATTAGCACACGGTCAAAATATTCAAAATATTATTTTGTCAACATGTACAGTACTTCAGGGGTAATCAAAAACATTATACATATCAACTATAAATACCTCACTTGATATATTTAATAGTATATTAATAGATCATTACATTGTAATATATTATTTACAGTAGGCTTATGCAAACTCAGCACAAACCAGCTATTGTTATCCTATAGAAATACTTAAACAACAATATAAATTATGAAAAGCATATTTGTATTTTCTAAAGTATCGCCCTATTACAGTTACATATACTTTCAACCCAAATATATTTAAATACTGTAACATTAAAATAATACCGTCCATAGACTAACGAGTAAATAACGATGCTATTTTTGTCTTTGCCAGGCAAGAGATACCTAATAATATACACGTAATATTATTTATAACTTCATCAATTTCTACGTACTATCATTGAATTTAGACTATACAAGTAAACTTCTATCGTTATTACTGTTGATGACGTTTAATTGTGTTATTGTTGAAGAGTTAGTTTTCTCTTCATTAAGGGTAGTATTAACGATTTAGGCTCGACTCTTTGGTCAAAGTCCATTAGGAAATTTCATAACAATTAATTTTATATGATTTTATTTGTTCAAACAGTAAAAGTCCTTGACATAAAACAGGCATTAACCTTCAAAATGTCTTCATCTAATCCACAAAGCGCATCACACACCAGAGTGATATCCAGTAAACAGGGTATTAGACGAAGATATCAAGCAGGCCGTGACAGGAGATCGGACAGTTTATAAATCACGGAAGCCGTGGCGGTACTGGAAGAGTCAATCAAGGAGGCAGTGATGTTTGTGTTTTGTCAGTAACAGCTGTAGAGAGGAATGCCGCCCCTCCTCTCTGGTCCATTCCCCCCACCCTACCATTCAAGGGAGGACCTTCCTCAGATTCCCTTTTACTTTCACTTAAGTATCCTATTTCTTTAAACGGGACTAAACGGCGGAAAAAGATCTAAACGGTGAAGTACCTGCGCACGACCGAACCACTAGGGGTGGTCTGTCTATAAGATTGTTGAGATTATTTTGTGAACTCAATTTATTGTGGAAAAACTAAAGGACTTTATGCAAATTAAAAGAAAATGGATTAGTAGAAAATTAAACTGAGGAAATCACTAAAAACATTAAGGAGATAATATATTTACGGTTAGTTTGTACCTTTTTTTACTGTTCTTTGTGTTTTAAAGAACAGTTAAGTATCCCATATCTATAACTATATTGAAAAAAATTATTCATCTTGTTTTTGTTTAAGATAAAAAAAACATTTAACTATGCTGAAAATCTGTTTTAATTCCCTTTTTGACAAATTCTTAACCACAAAGAATACAAAATTCAACCGCGGCCCTCTTGAAGTTATATTTAACAGCATTAACACCATAACATAAACATCACATGCAAACTTAACTTTTGGATATTTATAATTTTGTGATTAGGCCTACTCATCGGTCAGTAAACAAATCCAGAATAGTCCCTAGTTGTTAAATGAACTTAAAAAGTTAACTTTGTTAATCACCAATAATACTTATAATTTTTCCAAATACTTATCATGAATCCAAATCTCTGTTTAAAATATTGGCTTCTAATAGTGAACGTAGATTTTTCTTGCCAAGATCACCGCACTCCTACAGGAGTTTGTGGTTCAATGCTCGAGAAGACCTCTATACTTCTCAAGCTCGGAAAGTCTACGAAGACTTGTGATGTTTGGCACTTCAACATTCTCTAGACCTCCCTTTGGCACTTCAACATTCTCTAGCCCTCCCTTTGGCACTTCAACATTCTCTAGCCCTCCCTTTGGCACTTCAACATTCTC